ACCTATACCGCAGAACCAAGAGCAACCCTATATCAGACACAGTTGCATGTAGGCGACTACGAATGACCGGTCATGTGCTACGGATGGACACGGACACGCCACCGCAAGTAGCCATGAGCGGCTATTTTGACAAGGGCAACAAAGCACCTCGTGGACGGCCAAGGTTGACACTGGCCACATGTCTGGTTGCTCAGCTGAATAAGCTGGGTGTGCCAATGAAGACCATGGAAGACCTTTCCGGGTGCCGACAACAAGCAGCAGACAAGACAGACTGGAGGAAACTGTGCAGCTCGACACCCGGCGAGAAATCGGTATCAGCAGCTACTACACCTAGCTGATGATGCTCACAAGACAGAAGCGGAAAAAACACTGAATTTCTTTATTTAGTGCTCTACTACGCGAAATGTGCTATTATTATTATTTTTTTATTTTTTTACGATAAATGATTATGTACGCACAAATAATGAAAACGCATGCACGCAGGTCGCTACATTACACCCCCACCAGGGATGAAGCTGAGCAGTAGGCTATTACTAAGTAGCTGAAGAACGAAAAGATCTTGGAGAGGAAAAGAAAGAGTGAGCGTGCAAGAAATATACGCTGTACAAAGAGAAAAAAATATGCGCTGCATGTGGAATACCGTTGTGTACGACACGTGGGACACAAGGTCCGAAACAAGGTAGAAAATGCAGGAAATCATGAGAAAGAGGAAAATGCGTGGCAGAGGTGGAAGAGCGTGTCAGAGGCAGTCTAGAGGAAGGAAGTAAGACAAGGGAAATGTAGGCGTGACAGAGGAGGACGGATCTTGATCTTGTCAGAGGCGACTGCGGGCTGGGAAATCGTGGGCAGTAGAACGGTGTATCGGCGGATGGTGGGCCGGTGAGGTCGTGGGCTTGGGCACCTGCTCACTGTGGGCCACGGAGGTCGAAAGCGCGATGAGCCTGCTCCATACCATCCTGATCCATAGACCGGGCATATACCGTAAAGTCGTGTATAAAAGCTGCGGCTTATAATTATGACTTTTGGGGGAATTTTGCAGGCTTCTTAGAGACAGGCTTCTACACAAGATGGTATTTCTATGTATGTCAACACTAAAACCAGGCTTATGTGCCGACAGTGTATCTTGAAAATCAGGCTTCTATTCAAAACAGGCTTTAATTACATCGACCATGACGGCTACAATGGCCAACCAGAACACAACAAAGTTGGGGCCAAGGAGAGAGGTTAACGTTATTTTCTTTCCGTCAAAATTCCATACAACGGCCGTTTTTAACGAAAAAATGATTATGTACGCAAAATAGTTACTTGAAGTATATGAAAACGCATGTACGCAAGCCACTACATATCCACATTTACCCTAGGACCACCAGAGCCAATGTCCCAACCACATTCACATTAACACTACATATCCACATTTACCCTAGGACCACCAGAGCCAATGTCCCAACCACCTTCACATTAACACTACATATCCACATTTACCCTAGGACCACCAGAGCCAATGTCCCAACCACCTTCACATTAGCACTACATATCCACATTTACCCTAGGACCACCAGAGCCAATATCCCAACCACATTCACATTAACACTACATATCCACATTTACCCTAGAACCACCAGAGCCAATGTCCCAACCACATTCACATTAACACTACATATCCACATTTACCCTAGGACCACCAGAGCCAATGTCCCAACCACCTTCACATTAACACTACATATCCACATTTACCCTAGGGCCACCAGAGCCAATGTCCCAACCACATTCACATTAACTGACTGTACATGTACAGCGATTTGGTTGTGGATTTGGTTGGTATCCTAATATGGATTAGGGTGCAATGTGTTGTGTTCCATGCTGTGTTCTTGATTTGTAGGCACACGGATTGACAATCTCATTGGCTGCTTTCCTCAAGATGCTAGCAGTCCTCTGAATCGCTCCATCACTCTGGGCTGCACGACACCAGACGTGTGCTCTGACACTTGCCGTTCGATGGGCTTCCGCTATGCAGGCGTTTCCGACGGCTTTCGTTGCTGGTGCGGTAACAGCGTACCGAGTGGCGAAATTGCCGCCAATAACTGCGACGTACCGTGCACATTTGATACAAACCAAGGCTGCGGCGGAGTTGGTCGCTCGCTCGTTTTCCAAGCCGGCTACGAGTTCTTTCCGCTCGGGGTATCCCCGCAATCATCTGTATGGTAGAACTAATACACCGAATGTTCTCTATTCTCTCTCTCTTTGTCATCATCCAACATGTGTTCTCCACAGTCATAATGTTGCTGCACTCTTCTCAACATTGCTTCAGATTGGAGCACGTACATAGAGTTCTTAGAGAGCACTTTGAAGTATCTGCTGCTGACAACATGTGACATATGGCATGTACAATTGAGCAGTGCACCAGCTATGGATGCAGATAAAGTGTATCCAGTCTGGGTGGTAGCACACATTGGCAAGCTCACCGGTCCATTTGGGGCATGTTTAACATTTCTTTATATCATTCTGACCTTTGACCTTGCTGGTATGCTAATACTGGACACGCTCACTGGATCCATGGAGCTTAGCAGTGAGCACACCCCTATCAGGTTGTCACGTTCCTGCATGCTTGCCAAGTCTGCTGATTGGGTGTCTACATGGCAACAAGTTTCATAGCGTTGCCCAGAGACTTCTCTACAGTCAAATCATTTCAATGATTTGAAATAGGCTGCAAATCCCGAAAAAAACCTTTCCTTCAGTTGTCTCTCCCCTCCATTTGAGATTATGGTCCATCAACAAAACTTGAGTGACCATACTTCGGCAGCTGGGGCCATCGTCAGGCCACTCAGGGCTTACCCTGATGCCGGATCATGATGATGCAGGTGCCAGGCCGCCTAATCATTGGTTAAAGACATGATATTTTTGTGTTGACCCTGGCTGATAATCGGAGTTCCATGCCAAAACTTCGTGGTTTTCTCCGTATGTTTTCAAGTTCTGGAATGCAGAGACCTCAGGACCATACAACTGAAGGATGTTTTTCGTGATTTGCAGAATATAATTACATGTACTGTAAATATACAAATTTTCGGCAGCTACTTTAATTTCGGATATATTCGGCAGTGAATCGGCACCGACCCAAAACGCCTAAATTAAAACGCCGATGAAATTTTTCACAGCATCTGTCGCACTATACCATGTACCATGCTCTACCCCACGCCGAAAATAAATCGCCGCCGAAATGTCAAAAATCGTGAAGTGCCGAAATTTTGCAGCGCCGAAATTTTGTATATTTTACAATACAGTATGCTAACAGTGGATGGAGGTAGGGCACCAGGCTATCGTGAGAGTGGAGTGGCCTATGGAGGGGGGGGGGGGGGGGGGGGGGGGTGTACGACTGTAGTGTACGCAGCATAGGGGTTATTATTATTTGACAGCTGTTCCGAAGCTGCAACTGTTTGCATTCATTATGACTTTAAAGGTCCTCACGTTTGACTGAGAGGGTATGAGATTTTTAAAATCACAATCAGTTCATCTATCTACCATTGGCATTGTACATGTGACTGAGGTGGCCCTGCACTGCACTGCAATGCACTGCAAGGAAGCTTGCATGGTAGTCGCTACACTGACACTGTCGATGAAGTATGGTCACTCCAAGGTGCTCTACACTTGTACTTGTAGTGCGACACTACAAAATACAAAGCAGCGGTGCTCACTGCTGCCAAGATGAAAAGTGCATAGCCACAACTTCCATTTTTTACTCTTGCTGCTGCTTGGAGTACTAATAATAAGTCTTACTACTTGTACTAAGTAGTATACTGCGTGTACTTTTGCCTGTACTCTGGGCTGTAGCCAGCATGGTAGGTGGTCGTGGATCATTCAGGGCTGAGACGTGAAGATCTAGATCATTTGCATGCCGCTCCCTCGCATCATCATACCGGATATCATCCCGCCATGGCCTGCTACTTACTACTGCTACTGCTAGACTGCGTGACTGACTGTATAATTATGTGTTCGTTCGGAACTGCGCGGAACCCCGAGGCTAGAGCGTAGAGAAACCAGGTCACATTACTAGTAGTAGTACTGGCCATGCGCATAGTAATATTAGTATGGGCTTCCGCTCGGAGCCCGGGAAGACAAGAACCGACAACCAGTCTGCCTTTCCATCAGGAACGTCCCACTCCGAGGTCTGTCACAGTAGCAGTTGGTAAGTCGATGGTCTAACAGTTCTTTGCGGCAATGGCGAGGAGCGGAATTCTGATCGGAGCATTAGTGCTGCTGGTGGCTGCTGTGGCGCCTGGATGTAAGTTATTTCTTGTGTGCCGTTTCCACTGCCACTGGTTAGAATGGGAATGGAACTTTCAGCCCCATTCGAGCGCTAGCGGGGCACATGCATACACTGGCCTATGTGCACAGTGACCAACCAAGCCACTTTGTCGCTTGTAATCTACCGCTTGCATTGACAAGAGTAACAGAAGTTCGTAAGTAAGTAATCGTTGTTGAAAACTGCGGCTAATCCGAAGCTTGAACCACGTGGTAGGTAGGAGGCCGGACGATAATCGCATCCTCAATCTCTGCAAAGAAGAGAAGCTAGGAGTAGGAAATAGGGTGCATTTGGCCATTTGTTCTCATCATGCAGTTCCGGCAGCACGACAACAAGACGACTGCTGTTATACACGTATTGTCACTCTGCCAGGATCAACATACACCAGCTTCAGGGTGTGTCTCTTCGTTAGCGCTCTCTACTGAAAACTTAGTGTTTGCTTGTGGCAACGCTGACCCCCAAAGAGGGACTCCCCCGTCCCCGGACCGGGATCGGGAGGGTGTCGTTGCCAGCAACCTATTACTAGTACTACTAGTATTAGCACGAGTACATACGGGTAACCCCCATTGTGTACTCTTGCTGCCACGCACCGTTACTCCCAGTCACAGCTGAAGAGATCGAGAGACCAACATTCAATAATTTGGCTGCATATTTTTAATCAGGAAGTATAAGTAGTATTACAACTCCCTGCTTTAAAGGGGAAGTATACCCTAAAATCAAATTTTCACCAGTTGTAGTCTTCGGGGTGCTGAGTCGAATGGTCTTGGTCCGAGGAAGCTGAGACGCTCCCTTCCTCCTTTATTCCCAATCGAACTCGCGCACTTCCACCGAAACTGGGTGACTGCGCCCTACTAGATGGGGATTTGTATGCAAAATGTCACTAAAAGCGCCATTTCGTTCTTATAAAAGCACGGATGACCGCGATTGGCCCATAATTATGTTGTAGTCTTTTGGACGCTGAGTCGACTGGTTTTGGTCCGAAAAGGCTGCGATGCAGCGTTCCTCCTTTATTCCCAATCGAACATGGTTGAACAAGCGGTCACGTGCTCCTGCGTACACCAGTCACCTGGTCACCGTGCCTGCAGGGTACAACTTACTAGCCTGTTTGACCTTTTTTGGGTGCACTCCTGTCACTCGAGTTGAACTCGAGTTGAACCTTGGTGTGAAAGTTGTCGCCTGCTGGCGCGGTGACCAGGTGATTTGGGCACCCAGGAGCACGTGACCGCTTGTTCAACCATGTTCGATTGGGAATAAAGGAGGAACGCTGCATCGCAGCCTTTTCGGACCAAAACCAGTCGACTCAGCGTCCAAAAGACTACAACATATGGGCCAATCGCGGTCATCCGTGCTTTTATAAGAACGAAATGGCGCTTTTAGTGACATTTTGCATACAAATCCCCATCTAGTAGGGCGCAGTCACCCAGTTTCGGTGGAAGTGCGCGAGTTCGATTGGGATTCAAGTAGGAAGGGAGCGTCTCAGCTTCCTCGGACCAAGACCATTCGACTCAGCACCCAGAAGACTACAACTGGTGAAAATTTGATTTTAGGGTATACTTCCCCTTTAATCTCATGCACCGCGCGACACTTTTTCTCATGCACGGTCGAGAACTGTTATAAATCGCAAGGTCGACGGTATCTAATTATAACTGGCGCCGGAGCTGGTTGTGTTCGTAAAACCAGGATTGTATATCTATTACCCTAATGGGATGACGACTACGTCAAAGCTTAGTGGCAGAGCATCACTGGCCATAGGCGAGGCCTTAGTTCGAGTCCTGGGGGTGACAGTCAATTTTTTCTTCAGACTTTCCCCCTTTTTCAACGCCCTTTAACTTATGCCGCTGGAACCATTACTATTAGCCAGTGGTTACACAGATGTGCAAGCTCTTTATTTTTTACCATAGCCGGGACTTTGGCGGAATGTAATCGCCGTTGATAAATGTTGGGTTAGCTTGTGGGCTAACCCTAGTTAGCGATAAGACCGATGCACTGCTCTCTGTCTCGTACTGCGACTGAGCTGGCTCTACACGTGCAATCAACTGCTGCGCATGCGCGCTCATATCGCCTTGGGTAGCTCTTGCTGTGCTGACTTTGGCTTGCGCTTTCCTTTGCAGTGTCAGTGAGCAGCCACCGGAATATATTTGCCACCCACCCACCCATTCACAAATTATATAAGTGGGAACAGCTTCCTTCAACTGGTTGCTTTTGCTGCTACTATTGGTCGGCTGTTTGCCACGCCAATCAGTGGTCATTGCACCCGGTCGCGGGTACTATCGCCGCCCAAGCATGAGCGATTGCATTGGCCGTTTGCAACGCCAATTGCTTCACCCTGGTTGGCTGTTTGCAACGCCGATCACGAACCCTTTGCACCCAGCCGCGGGTACTGTGGCGGCTTCCTCATGAGCGATCATGTTGGCTGTTTCAACGCCAATCGCTTCACTAGTTGATCGAAACCAGCACACATGGTGGTGTACCCCAATTATCTCTGTGCGGTGTTGTGAGAATACGTGGGTATGCATGCAGCTTTGCTCTGTGACTTTCCACTTCATGTAGTCACTTGGTCACCTGGTCACCTGGCTCTCCCATTTCCTACACAGTGTACAGTGTACACTGTTCTGATGCATTCGGGTGCCATCGCTAATGATTACAAAGCACATTTATTTATTTATTTATTCAACATCTTATGGCTTCCGATGGCAGCCAAAACGGGAAGATGTGGGTGGTAGCCAACCATGGTAAAAGAAGGAGAAGATTATACACATGAAAAGGAAACAGCCGAAAAGCTATATTGCCGGATTAGTTTATTATTTTTTGCCACTTGTGCCTAAATGTGTTTTGTCACCTTCTTGTTTATTATTGTTATTATTATCATTCGTTCTCACTTTTTTGTTTTTTGTTGCTGATACACACTTGTCACGCTTAGTTCTTACTTGTATACCCTTGTTTTCTGCACACTTTTGTGAGAAATCGCACCTCGATATTCTAGTTTATTATTATTATTATTATGGTGCACGCAGTCATCAGCAGGCCCATGTCGCTATAATTTGTCTGTCTGACCGTCCACCTGCAAATCTGTCCGTCTCTTTCTTTCCGAGTCTGTCTGTCTGAAATGTCTGTCTATCATAGTCTTGAAATGTAAATGCCTGTGCATGTACGTGTGTGTGTGTGTGTGTGTGTGTGTGTGTGTGTGTGTGTGTGTGTGTGTG